CCTTGTGCTCCTGGAAAACGAAAGAAAAACCCGTGCATAACTTGCACGAGGGACCGCGAAAGCTTAACGGTGCGCAAAGCAAACAAAAGGCCTTGAACAACTTAGTGTGCATGAATTACCACAACACAAATATTATTATTAAACTTACAAACGAAAAAACATGTAAAATGCTTCACAACCGCAAAGAACATATCGAAAGAATATTCGCCCTAAGACCACTACGCCGCTCAAGGGTTTAAAACACAACCACAGAGGCAAAAGGCAAAACTTATTTCCACAAACGCCACTACTCCGTTTTAAAACACAACCACACGAAGCGAAAGGCCATAAACTACTTTTCTTTTGACCGGGGTTTAATATGAAAATAAAAAAATTAAAGATAAAAAGGAAAATATATTTGCCTTAAGAAGCGCTGGAGATTCTGCCCCTCCGGTCGGTGAAATCTTCCCGGGATATCTTGAACTGGTTCTTCATTGTGTTTGCCTCGGACAGCTCCAAGCGCTTCGACGACCCTGTCCTGCGGTACTTCCAGAGTATTAGACATTGTTCAAAGCCTCAGTAAAGCTCGAAGTCTTGGTAAAGCCTGAGCTAGAAGGAACACGTCCGAGCCGTRGCAGACTAGAAGTGGAATGATTGATATGCTAATAAGCTTTTGTAAAAAAATTAGGTGTGACATGCTCGTGCACTGACTTGTCTCTGTTGCACGAGAAATTGTACCGTGTGACAGGGGCTTAAGTCAGTACCGTATGATTCCCACTAACACGCTACCTATTCTTATGGGAAACCATTTCAATATTACGGCATACCACAGACCGTGAAAGTGCTGTAAGTCAGTACCATACGTTTCCCATACACACGATAGGGTGTTACTAAAACGAGTAACGGAGTAACTCGTTCTTGAAGAAAAAAAGTTTTAGTAGTGTGGAAGGTACATTTTAGAAAATTGGAATTTAAAATCTTACGAAATTTGTGTGTGTAACTGAATTAAAAGTCGAAATTAGGCCTACTACGAGGGTCCCATACATAGCCCCATCTAAGTTCGTCCCAGGTAAATCTATAGTCAAATATCTTATTAACAAATTAGATCCGGGTTCTCAGGTTATTCTCCCTCCTTAAAAATCAACTACCAAATTCTAGTTCGATCTTTGGGCTTTCGCTACAGGTGTAGCTTTGGGCTCTGTTGTGATTATTGCTCCGTGCTGTGATATAACAGCCGCAGTTTGCATCAAAAAGCTATGAAATTATTACCCATGATCCTTAAAGATTCATTTTAGGTTTCGGCTACCGGCTTTTTTGCTGACTAACTATATTTAGCTATTTAATATTCATA